TTCTAAAAGGGCACCCTGACAAAACAGCCCACGGCATCATAGCACACGTCAAAACAGCACGGCGTCAAAGTAGCAGAGCGACAAAACAACGGTCAAGAAAAAAGCTCGCAAAAAAAAAAAAAAAAATCACAGTGTCAAAACGGCAAATTGACGAAAAAGTACCTGCCAAAACAACACAGCGACAAAAAAAAGAAAAAAAAGGTTATGCACGGCGCCGAAACAGCACATTAACAACACATCTAGTGGCGTTAAAGATCACCTCTTAAGATTGGAAGGCTACAGGCACAAAAAAGTACTGTGATTACAAATTACAAAACTAACAGTGAAGTAGTCGGTAGACATCCACGCATCAACGCATCCGCCTCCTTTCATTACAGTAGCGAACTGTAATGATATTGGCCTTATAAACGGTGATTTTATGGGTGGTCTCATACTATCAAACAATTTATTTTTTGCAATATTAATTTTCTGCTAATTGGCTCATTGGGTCATGTTCCCAACTATTCAATTCACTCACATTCACTTATATTATGTGTCTTACACCGATTGCTCTTGTGGCACGTATTTGACTCGCAATTATTCTGAAGTAATAGTACGAGTAGTGATGCACTGCCACAGAGAATGCGGTGCGCAGGGCTCAAAATCATGCGGTTGAATATCTGACAAGCCACTAGATGGACTATCAAAGTACGACACAGCCCCTCATTCATACCCTGTTGGGCTGCCGCTTTTTTACCCAAAGTAAACTGGGCGTGAAAAAAGCGTGCACATTAGTTAATTTAAAAAAAAGTACTCTTTGCCACCTCATTGTTGCCTCTTGTGATGTTGGCGAATCGCAAGTCACAAATTATATTTTTTAAAAGCAATAACGGCATAAGTAATATAGTTCACTTATTAGAACGATAGTGCACTGGCACAAGATACCATTAACTAGGTACCATCATTAATCTCTCCAAATATTAGGATATTCACGGGGTTGCAAATTTTTTGCAGCTTGACAGCGCTGGCTAGACAAAATATAAATCCACACGATATATACTTACATATAATATCCACGCTCCCTTGGCATGTCATTAATACAAGCTTAGAATGCCGAATAAAACACATACGTTACGTGGGGAGGGGGAGGGGGGCTGATTTGCCGATGTACTGTTTTGTCGCTGTGCTGCTTTGTCGCTGTGCTGTATCGACGCTGTGCTGTCTTGTCGCGTGCTATATTCCCGCATGCAATTTTGTCGCCGGGCGTTCACCGTGCTTGAATGGTTTGGTCGGCAATCGCAGATGCGCATAGACGATGAGTGCCGTGACGATGCACTTTTGGGGCTGCCTGATTGGTTCTATCGGAACGTGGCGTCGCCACGATCAGACTTCAAGGGATACGGAGTGTAAGAAGAAGTATGGGTCGCCAGACTTTTTTACCATTGGCACCTGGAACATCGCACCAGTTTTCACCAGCATCCTAACACAAAAAGAAAACAAGCTTACGTAAATGTATCCATGACACACCGTTTCTAAACCTCGACAAAAAAATTCTGCGTTTTGTTTCCTTTTTTTTATTGTCTTTTACTTTTGCGACACGTTTCGGGTTGTGTTTGATGTGCAATTCATATCTTGGTCGCCCTTTTTTGTTTCGCGCTTCAAGGATCAAAGTCGGCACAGCCAAGATTGTCGTTCTCAACGACCACCAGTGTATCCGAGAAGCCTTTTCTCATCACGCAGTGCAGTCAAGAATCAAAAGCATGTTTTTAGAGAAAACTGGCCTACCAGGTATTGCGAGGTTGTTTTCTTTAGGGTCGCGTGTTACTCGTTTCGATATTTGCTGATCTGACTTGGGACCTCCACAAGGTGTGGGAACACTCAACGGAAAGGCGTGGAGAGAAAATCGTCAGTTAAGCTTGCATATACTCCGTGGAATTGGTTTCGGAAAACCCGCCTTCGAAGAAATGATACTGGTGAGTATTTTACTGAGAGTATGTCCCAAGAGTAACCGTCGCATTGTGAGTACGAAATGTTTTGCACTCTGGCCTCGATATTGGCTGTTTTTTAACTCTTTCCTGACCATGGGGTAAATGACTGTTTTGCATGAGTTCTTGTTACGTATATTTTTAGCGAAACAACTATTAGGTTTAAAATGTAATGTCATACACAGAAACTAAGCTAAATAAATTGACTTTTCAATTATACAAACATCAAAGCAGATTTGAATTTCAATCCCATGTTTAAGTCGTCTAATACAAGTTTTCCCCGAAAATGTGTTCAAACTGGGTAAAAACAATGCTGTATGTGAAAAAAGTGGCAGAAAACTTTTAACTATAATAAATGTTCTCCATTTTCACAGCAAACAAACACTGCAGAAACTAGAGTTCTGGGTAAAAAAGTATTTTGATCAGACTAACATGTCAACCGTCATGACGTGCATGCCATGGAGCATGTCCATTATGGCACTCGACAGCGCCCAAATGTGGTGAAGCACGGGCTACCAGAAATTGACTATGACAGGATTTCATCATCAAATTCACTCCTTCTATAAAAGTCCCAAAAAGCCGAACTAGGATCTCTCAGAAATGCTACGTTTGCGAGCGCGTGCCGGACACGTTGAAGCGGCCGTAGCTCTCAGAAACGACAATGTGTCCTCGGTTTCACGTTCGGCTTAAAAATCATTGCCACGCAGAAAAAAGGGAAATAAAAGGAAGCCAAAACTGTAGTTTTCAAAATACTTATGACGGCTTGCAGCAAAGGTGAGCTATGCGTGAGTTTTGAAATCGGCCCCCGAGCTCATCGGTCGCAGGTGATCGACGTTTTATAGGCCCAAAGCTCAGGTTTAACAGCGCCTCTGGCGAGCAGGATGAAATATTTCTCAATCGCGCTTTAATTGTCCATCGTCGTGTTTTTTTTTTTTTTTGTTTCTGTTGTACGTTGCTAGCGATCGTTAAGTTGGCAGAATTCCACTGCTGGGTATATATTTATTAAAGATGATAACAAGAATAAAAAAAAACTACTAGAGAAGCCTTGTTATCATTTCGATAGAACACTGAAAAAGCAAGCTGTATTTCCTTTCTCTTCGTGTATTTAAAAATTTCTCATAGTATGTTTCAGCTTGAGCTCAGACGCAGCCAAGGCTACGAGCTAATAATATCAATCAAGTAGCGTCAAAAACGCAAGTCACTGGGCCTTTTCTGTTTATGATTTGTTCAGCGATATTACAAAACGTACGGAAAGATATAAACTTCTAAGATTGTGCACTTTTCACGCTGTCTTAGCAGCTCGTAACGTCGTCTGCATCTCCACAGGTTTTGTCATTGTCTCCCATTTGCTTGAACGTTTGCTAAACACACCAACATTCAACGCTAAAATAGTATTCCAAACATTAGGTCAAATTATTGTTGTTGTTGTTGTTGTCTTTGCTAAGTTATTGAACTTACAATTTTGGTCCTCACCATGTTTTTCAAACTGAAAATCTCTACTGGCGACAACGAAAAATTGACGCCAGTGGAAGTCAGGAGTTCATTCTTTGGACTATGTATTCTGTTCCTAACTGATTACAAGCAGTTTCATGGTCTCAAATGAATGCTTTAGAAGCTCGCTATAGTACCCGCGCTCCAGCACGAAACAAATGATTGGCGCATTTTTTATTTTTTTAGACTGCTTGCTCGACTGGCAAGCCTGCCTGGCACTGACGTCACGGCGCTAAAAAGTGCGGGTATATTTGAATGTTGGTTTTTGCATCAGTTTCATTTGCCGATTTCACAATAACTATTATAAATTTCGCGGTACTGAATAGCATACCGGAAAGGGTAAAGGCCGGGGACTCAGAAAATATAGATAGTTCAGGTAGCTCAAAACAACTCTGGAGTACCCTTTTAAGATAAGACGAAGTATATAGTTTCTTCAAACCTTCTGTTGCCGCGCGTAGGCAGATTCCGATGGGCTTATAAACGATTGCCGTGGCTCGTGAATGATCGAACGCTGCAGCGCCGCTTTCTGCTTCATGCAGGCATTACATGGTCCCGTCTAACGAATGCGTTTGCAAAACCTGTTCCAGAGCAACAAGCCTTAAGGCATGGTCAGCAAAGGGTAAACTGAGCGAATTTATTTTTAAACTGCAACTCCTTAAACGTCCACGGAGCAACAGCATAGGAGCAGAAATAAAATCGTCGGAGCGCACAAAATAGCTACCCCCAAAATATTTCGAAATTATACACTTGGCTATTTGACCGTAAGGGCGAGGGTGCGGCATGTAAGGGAGTGTTTAGGTGAACAAAATAATCAAAGCTTATTCTTGCACTGTCATCCGAATATTCCACGTTTAGTTTTTGCCGGCAACTACCACAATTTCGTCGCTTCTACGAGGAAAGCGAGGTGGCGGTTCCACGCTTTGACCGTGGGGAGCAAGATCGCTGGTGCAGAATGTGTTCTAATAGGAAACGATAACAAAAACGCGTTCAGTTTGTGTAATTGTTTGTAAGCTGCAAAACGCTGCGTGAGTCTTCGTTTTGTACGCTGAAGGTTTTATGGGCTTATGCTGATGTCCGATACCAATAGGATTAGAATTGCAAACATACCTTAAAATTAATTCACTAAGAAGGGAATTACTGAAATGTAAATATTGTCACAAGTATACCGAATATCATTAATTTTTCTGAATAGGCCCTTTGGCAGATGCAGATATTATTATATTTTATATGATAAATGATATGCGAACTCTCATCACAAACAATTTGGCCGCCTTTTTAAGAAACACCCCGAGGGTGTCTAACGGAGCACCGGCCAATTTGATTCGGCGACAATACTATCACTATCTGCAGGTTTTCTTTTTCTATTAATATTTCCGCGGAACAAAAACGCGATCTAGAATCTCTGGGTACAATAGAAACGCCTTGCCAGTTTGTTCAAACGTTTCTGCTTTACTTTTTTATTAGGAGGAAGTTCAGTGTCTTACGAGGAGGCTTCATGCAGTCAATCAAGCTCCTGTTTTCGTAAGAACATTCACCATCCCCAGCATGTCCAATATCTACACGAAACTGCTCTTTGGTGTACGCCACCCACACGATCATGCAACGCGGGCCAAACTGGACGAATGCTTTCTGAACGCCGATGCTGCCCTCACCAGAGGATCTGTTACTGTGTTTCTGCCTCTGTGGCTCTATGCAATGGCAGGAGCTGTTTCCTTCACTAGAATTGGGGCTTTCATGAGCGCCTTCCGTGGACTCATAAACTTTTTAGCGTGAGTTTTTTTTTTTTTTTTTCTACGGTTACGTGCAATTATTGTGACTAACCGTTCCTTTAGAACTATAAAAGTCTCAGTCATGCTTTATGCAGTCCTCAAATTGCAACGCACCAAATGGCCAAGAAACCGAATTTCGGAAGTGACTTCATCGATGCTTACTTGAGGCATGCATTTCTTTCTCGAGACGATCCGAAGAGTAATATCAAATGTGAGTAACATACGCGTTTCCCTCCCAATTTTGTTTTGTTTTGTGACCTTCCCGACAAGAATTTGTGTAGAACATAGATAAGCCATGACGTTATTTAAGAGTAGTACCACTAAAGGCGAACAAAAATGTACTCATATCGTACAAGGTTCTTTGAAATCTGTGTAATAATACATTGGTTTATTTTGCTGTCAATCATCACGTTCACATTCTTCCATCCCGAGTTTTAAATTTCACTAGAAGTCAACACTGAACGCCGGTCTTATGACGCAGAAAGTCCTCGCTGTGCAGTGACTATACGCATTAGGCAAAAGAGCTACATCATGTGTCACTTGGAAACGTATTATTTTCTAAGTCATGTGTTCTCGTTTTTGTGTGAAAAAGTGTAAAAGCACTTTTTCACAATTGTTAAGCGTGTCAATAGCTATTCAAAGAGAAATAGGGTGATGCAAAAATCAAATTAGGCTCAAGTACCTGGCCAGTATATATTGTGCAAAATTGGTAAGTATTTGTGGAGTAAAGCAGATTAAAAAAAATAATCAAGAGCAAGATTGCCCTAACATAACGAGATTCCTGTCCCGTCTTCGTTTTTTTTTTTTCTACCTAAAGGATAGGACATGGGTAAAACGACCACTTAGGAAGGTAAAAGCGACACCTGAGGAAGTTCAGCTCAATTTGTTTAGGTGTTGATTTGATTTTTTTATTAAATATAGCATAACGGCTAAGCTGAAGCAAAAGTCTGGTATTTTATAAACCGCATTACTTTCTTAATATGTGTTACTCCTAGAGACCCTACACCAATAAGCCATAACAGTGCCAGCCTCCCGACGAGTTTTGGAGGATAGAAATTGTCTTTTACCATTAACGCTGTTATCAAAATGGTGTTCCGTGTAGCAAAATGGTGTTCCGCATTTTGTTTTCGTTGAAAAATGTATAGCGCTTTCAACTGTAAAATACGAAATAATACTTCGCCTCGTTCTTGCGAATCATAAAAAAATCGTCATGGTAAATAATCAGAAACCATAGTAGTTAGTATAGTAATTACAGAGAAGATGCAAGCGAGCTGGTGAACTTTCAACATTGCAAAACCCGAGACGTGGGACAAAAAGGAAAAAAAATCTATATCGTAGTAAATGTACAAGACTACTCACGACATAGAGACATCAAAAATAATAAGACTTAGTAGATTGTGTACAACTGCGAGGTCATAAGAAAATCGCTCACACAGAGGCAACGTAGTTAAACAGATTTTTTTAAATATCATATGTAACATAACTTGTGTGCACGCGAGTGTATATGAAGAATGTGAGATGTTGTTTCATCCAGCTAAGGCTCGTACCATTTCCATCAGGGGTAACAATAGGACAGTGGTAAAATTGGCACGTTCCAGATATCTGTATCCTAAACGGCATATGCCTCTGACTCTAGTTGCTCTCTTCGCAAATGAACCACGCCGCCATAGACAAACCATTTTCAAAACAGGGATTGCTTCTTTGCATCCATTGTTGTTATGGAAGTTCGAACAACGCATCCCGTAACTAATGGTTCAGTAAAAGTAGCTTCAAAAGCAATGAGCGTCACTACTTTATAACATGCATCCACATCCCTAAGGTAGATTGCATCAAGTTGCTGTCGCGGGTGACATTTGGAGCCGGTACTTGCAATGTAACAAAAAAACGCATACTAATATGCGAGCGGCAAAATAAAAATATATATATATATATATATATATATTTTTAGCATGCGTTTGTTTCGGCACCGTGTAAAGTTATAGCAGGCGTTCCTGCAAAGTACTTGAAAAATTCCTAAAACTAAAGTGATTGAGGAAGAAAACTTTTCTTCGGCAACAAATTGCCAGCCACGGCGGACATGAATCATTTAAAAAGATATACTAATTAGAAAAATAATTACCTAAAAGTGAGTAATTAACTTTTTAATACTTGAAAATATACGTATGGCTCCGATTAAAAACTTGCTGAATGACATCAAACGCCCCAAAACAAGTCAATTTTAGGACATGGGACGTGCGGCGGTACGCTAAAGTTACCGCTCGTGCAGCAGGCGCAATGCGGGCGGTGCAAAAAAGCAGATATTTTCTTATCATTGGCATTTTAGCATCGCAGGACGATTGCACAAGCAGTAACTTCAGCGAAACCCTTTGCATCTCACGCGCTGTAAGTCGTCCTGAAACTGAGTGATTCAGAGGTTTTTGCTGACGCTCAGCAAGTTTCTAATTCGAACCACATGTTTGTTTTCTCCAATTAAAGCGGTAACCACTTTTAGGTAATTTTTTTTAATGAGTATGTTTTGGAGATTTCTACCGTCCGCAGTGGCTGACAGTTTGTCTCCAAAATAGCGTTGCCTTTTTTCTAAAACACCTTCTTTTTATATATGTCTTAAAGTCTACGCAGAAACGCCCGCGGTGCAGTCATGATCGCCCGGAAAATTTTTGAAAGGCATAAAAACATGCGCGATTGTGACCACTGGTATAATTTTCATTTTCAGTGCGATACCTTCCGGGCAATATTCTGAGCTTCTGGGTGGCCGGAACGAACGCCATTAATCGCAGCGTCATCTGGCACATGCTGAATTGTGCTGACAAGCCGGGCACAGTGCAGAAGGCAATTCAAGACGAGATTGACGAAGTCGTCGGACGTGAACGCCAACCGGCATGGAACGACCGCTACAGAATGGTTTACACGATGGCCGCGATCTGGGAGATGCTGCGGTGGAGGCCAATATCTCCGATGGGGCTGCCAAGAGGGTAAACCGACAAACGCACTGCCACAGAGCAGATATTTATTTTGCGATACATCAATCATAATCTCGTGTTACCGCGAATTATTTTTGCATCGTAATAAGTAATGGACCCTCTAGAATTGTACTCGAACTACCAACAAATAGTTCACAATAACCAACAACCCCGATTTTAAACTGGCTGAAAAGTCGCTTTCAGCTTCAATATTAATTCCAATCTTTCTGGGATATTTTTTTTAATAATTTTTGGCGTCAATAATTTGTGCAACATATATCGTCTCCTAATAAGAGCATTACATATCGCTATTGATGTCGGTACGCTCGGATTACCCACTCTTCGTAAATGAATTCTTGTTTTTCCAGGACCAGTGAGGACGTTATCATCGGAGGCCTCACAATTCCTGAAGGCACAATTGTCATGGCGAATTTGTGGGCTGTCAACATGGATTCATCCCTTTGGGTCCACCCGGAGAAGTTTGACCCGTACAGGTTCATAGAAGAAGGCCGTGCGAAGCTGAAACCAAAACCAGAATATTTTATACCATTTTCTCTCGGTTGGTTATTTTTTGATACATATTCCTTGGAATCCTCTATTTATTTTCTTAATTTTACATGTCGCTGAACATGTAATATATTTGTCACCAATTAAGATTTAAGACAGACCACAGGTAGATGAAAAAAACCTACCGTAATTCATTATTTATGGTATTACTGATATAAACCAGAAATCTCATTGAGGTCCGGATTCATAGAGATGTTAGGTTGATATCAAATGTCATTTTCATGTAACGATGCTGAGGACAACTCGGGAGGAAATGCAGTCAAAATCAGAACTATGGTTTGGAGTCTTCCTTTAATATTATATTTTAAATTAGGGATACCGCGGTCCCCCCGACGTTCCAGTTCGAAAGGCTCCAAAAGCTCGTCTCTCGCTAAGGTTCAAAATCGAAAAGTTCCCAAATTTAGAACTCCGCTGAGCTTCCAATTAGAATAAATAAAAAATATCAAGGTTTCTTAGTTCAAGTTCGAATATTTTTAATTTTTTCACACATCGTTCGAAAATTGTGAACATTTCGATTTTATTCAAGATTTAAGCTAAAAAAACTTTTACCATTTCAAATTTTTCTCAGGCACAAGTTCGAAAAGGTCGAAACTTTCGATTTTAGGTTCGAAGTGTTTGAATTTCACATACGGAGATCAAAATCTTCAGCTTCAAACTATGTTTTCACGAATTATAATAACAAATAGCGGGATGTGCTACTAATGTTACTGAAAACGTTGCCCATTTTCCTTCTGCCGTGAATGTACCACTTCTTGCTGTGCCCTGATACTCACGGTAGAACCTGTACTACTCGTTATTTGTCGTAACTTATGAAACACGCGATGAACTGGTTTTACGGCTCATCAAAAATCCCTGAGGTGGTCAGGTGAACGTACATTTAAATTGTTTGCGAACTAGTAGGAATCAGATAAAACGTCGCCTAAAGCATTGCTGGCATAAGACAACGAAATCTCCACAACGCAAGCATATAAAGTCATCCAGGCTTCCAGAAATTGATTAGTTGCTCCGGGCGTTCATTTTCGGCGGGATGACCCTTGGGATGTAGAAAACACTGAACACAGAGACAGCGCCCGACATAAGTCAAGGTTGATGAGAATTTTCGTTGTATTTTACCTGTATCTTAGCTGTATTTTAGCTTATGTTAGGGGACCACCAGGTCATCTAAAACACAGCAGATCAGGTCCCGACCGGTTGTTATCGGGTAAAACATATTACCGCTGCCTGAAACGTTTTCGATGAATGTAGATATTGGCCGCTCTAGAATGCAGCCAATTACTAATGGTGCTTAGGTAAGCGCCGATTCAGCGTTCGCTGTAGCGCATCTGTGCGACATTCCTTGAGTCGAGGAAATCGGGGGACTTGCGTTCAAAAACATCTAATACTATGAAGGTTGCTCCCAGCCAAGCGCCTCGGTTGAATTTCAAGCTTTCAGATCAGAGATCCGTTGGCCCTCATGTTACGTCAGGGCAACTTACGGAGCTGCGCGCGGGAGAGGACTTTTTCGGAATTCGAAAGCTGCAAGGTCGAGTCCAACACGCATGTGTTCATGCAGCGCTTTACAAGCGAGTTGTTCGTGGCACGATCAGCTAAGTCTTTAGTGTACCTTCAACTCCGCTTCACACATTGGCATCTAGTGTTATTTCTATTTGTTTTGCCTTGACCCGTTGAACTTCTTGAGGTGAACGTGGTTCGATCTTTGTCAAACTTTTATTCGGAAGTTCGAAGTTTGTCGAACGTTTAAACTTAAAAAGTTAAAAAATTTGAAACTCGGCGAATTTCTGAGCGTTTAAGTTCGAACGTGTCTTGCATAGCGCGAAAACTTGGAAGTTCAAAAACAATTCAATTTCTCAGCGCAAAGGTCTTGGAAGTTCAAAATTTGTCCAATTTTTTATGTAATAAGTTCGATGTTTAAAAAGTTTGCGATATGTCGCTTGCTTGTCATGTTACACTGTCATACCTTTCCATTGGCATTCAATATTGCTTCTCACGTTACACTGTCATACCTTTCCGGCATTGAATTGAGTCATGTTGCTTACGTATGTGCTTTTAAAAACTATAACTACCCCCCCAAAAAAAATAGTAAGGACGAAATCCACGTTACAATTCATATCCTGGGTTTGACAAAAATAACCCTCTAATTACACCTTATAAAAGTAAAAAGATTACTTGTTCCTGATTTGACACGTTTACTTGTTCGCGCTTCGAATACTGCAAAGCTTAATGATGCTTCGCGTACTGACTATTCGCCCTCTTTTGCTTGGCAACAACCTCAGTGGCGCCATCTATTGGGTAGCCCCGGCACACTTCCGGTTCACGTATGTTTCTTAGTTAAAGATATCAAATAGCGCAAAAAGGACAAGGACAAAAAGTAAACAGGACAAGTGCCAGCGCTTGTCCTGTTTACTTTTTGTCCTCGTCTTTTTCGCGCTATTTTATGTGTTTAACTAAGATGCACCAGCTAGCCCAACAACGTACCATACTAGAGTATATTTCTTAATTTTTTACACACCATTCTTTTATCAAAAGAGTGAATTAAATCTGACAGTGCAATAAGTAGCCATTTCCGGAAAATGGTGTGTATATTTCTCGCAAATACTGTAAACCCCCCCCCCCCTCCCCCGTCTAGTTCAAAACCAGAAGTGGTTTGGGGCTATTTTGCCCACTGGCGCCACCCCGTTTCAACTTACGCAAGAAAGAGCGAATATAGTGATCATGGTAGGAGGAACTTTGAAATCATCTGGCAAGCTAAACATTGCCCACTCTAAAAGTTTCGTAATATATCCCAAAATCAATACAGAGAATTATATGCTTGAACGCCGTTTAGCGTCTTTTTATTTTTTACAGAAAAGTTTTGATTATTATGTGAACTTACCGATGTCGTTGTTATACTGTATTTTAAATGCGTACTGTACAGCATACTCTTTAAACCAGGGGTTTCCAAACCCCTGCCAGCGGCCCGAATACGACCCGCGGAGGTCTTCCGACCGGCCCGTGGCTGGCCGCAACTTTTTTAATGAAGTCCAGCCTGCGGCCCTCTTCCAACAAACCCGCTACTAACGGCGCAGAATCGCGCGCCAAGAAACGTCGCCGCAGCGTAAGCGAAGATAGCAGAAAAAAAAAAAAAAACTAGAGAACACTGCATATTGTAAGGCGTCTCCTCTTGTCGTATTATTCATTGGACACTGTCACCGCCATTCTTAGTCTCCTGTTTTATATTTGTGTATAAATTAATTTGCCTTCCCATGTGTATAGTACTCAGAGTCCTCTGCCGTATTTGTGGCATATTGTCAGCATCAATTCTATCATTCTCACTAGTCTGCGCTCTGTGTATATGGCAAAGCCCTATGCGCCTCGATTTATGCCTGGTGAGTTTTCTGGGTGCCAATTATTGTTTGTCATAATTATCCAGACTTGTGCCTATCTCAAATACTCTAATTAAGGTACTGTATTTCAAATACTTTTGAAGTATCTTGGTATATTGCATTTACGTTTGATCGGGAGTATTTGATAGAGTATTTTAGTAACATTTCTGAGTATCTTGTACTTATTATCTCAAATACATTTTTGACATTCAGCTATTTTTCGAGCTTTCCGCTACGAGGTGGCTTGGGCGTGTCACGAGGAAACGTGAACATTCTTTCGAACAACGAAATCCTGTTGCTAGCTCCGATAAGCTACAGTGACTTAGATTGAGCTCGTGAAAACATCGCATTTGTGCCGATTGTGACTCAAATTCACTCCAAAGTTCGTAGAATTAATGTTTTTCCTCGCCTTCCCAAAGGCGCCTTTTGTTTCCTACTGTTTCCTCCAAAAGATCGTGAAACAAAGGGGGCGGTTTTACGGGAGTAAAGATTGCCACACAGGCGCAACGCAAAACGGGAAACGACCCACAACAAGACTGCAACTTCAGACTCAAGAAACTAACACATAGAAGAAAATGATCAGTAGACACAAAAAAATACACTTTTTTTTTGCTTGTTGAATATTTGGCAACGCTACTGCAAAATGTGGAGGTTTCTTGTGTAGTCTTTTTGTCGTCAGTCCGGCACTTATTGCTCTCGCGAACACCGTGTGAAAGCCAACATTGATAAGCAGAGAACATGACAGAAAACGAACTACGAGCAGGATGACCTCTCAAAATGCAGGCAAAGCGTCCCCCAACGTTGAGTGCCTTTCTAAACGTAACCTACTTGAAGAAGGTGCGACCAGTGCCGTGGCTCTTGCGTGGGCTATTTTTGTAATCCATTCAATCATTTACGTATCCCAAGTTCGTTTATAGTTAACTCCCCGTTTAGGGAATATGGAGTGTAAGTAAAACATGGCGTCTAAGGTGCGCCGCAGGACGTGATATTCAGCGATGTCACTATAACTAAAGCGACTTTTTTTTGTTCCAGAAATGTTTTGTAGCACGTATCAGTGATATCCTGCTCGTTATAGTTGGACTGCATAGAATAGCCCTAGGATGTTTTTCGACCACTTTGTGCTGTTGCGCGCTAAGAAGCCGTTCTGGTAAACCAGATTTGGGCAACTGTATAATTTTGTTTGTCACTGACGTCGATACAAATCATGCAACGCGGAACTATCTTTGTAAGTAATTGAATTACACTTCTCAGTATTTGTACTCTACTCAAGATACTTTACAGTGAAGGTAACTTGAGTAGTACTCTAAATACTTTATGAAGCAGGTATTTAGTAACTTAACTTAAATACGTTTATCAACCATTTTGTCCAAGACTGTAATTATCTAATATTAAATTTTAAAATAACCTCTATGTCCATACTTTATTTTAAACATCTCTGATTATTTTTTGATACACACTCTTAAGTTTTATTTCTGTGTTTATAGGTTTATCTAAGATAATTTTTTCTCGGTATCTTCTTTTATAATGACCTGTGTATTCAGGGCCTCGAGACAACGACAAATCCCCGAAGCCAAAAGGCTTGAAGACCTCTGGTTTAAACCATAAAAAGGCTCATCTGTTACAAGTTCCCAGGGACAAAAGAATAAAAAGAAATATGGGGCTGATGCTCGAGCAGGGTAATAATTGCTAGCTATAATGAACTTATATAGTTCATTTTGATCTGGAATGTTTAGCAGTTGTGATTATAACTACAATCGATATTCAAACAAAACAAAACGATACTTTACACCTTTTTATAAAACCTAAGGGAGCTTATATAGAGCCTGAGAATGTTTCGGTCTTACTGAGTGTGTGTCAAATATTTTTCTCACTCCAGAGGTGTTACATTGAAGAAAGGTGAGCCGAATACAATTTTCAATGTAAGATGTAATTGTTTTTTTTTTTTTACAGGCAAACGAATGTGCCCTGCTGAAGCCGTGTCGCCAGTGGAAGTTTTCTTGTACCTCACCGGTATCCTGCAGCAGTTTACTGTACTTCCTGAAGAAGGAGCAGCTATTGATTTGTCCATGGACTGCGTTACATTCAATTTAGCAAAGCCGCAAAAGCTACGCTTTCTTCCCCGTGAACAGGTTAATTACTAGAGAAAAGTTGCCACAGCAGGTTGTCGCAAAGACAATCTATTTTATAACGCATTTCAGTTGCGGGAAAAAGCAAACTTCCAATGAAATTCTGCAAGGATATATTTATAGACTATATTTTTTGTTCCTAAAAAGAGACCTAATATAAATGCCTAAACTAGTAATATATATATATATATATATTTCAATCTATAAAATGATGTGATGTTCTAAAAGCAAGTGATGGTAGCTAAGTTAATCAGAATGGTGTTCGAAGTAAAAAACAACAACAAATATTATCGAAGCTGTTGCGCAGTAGGAGTAGCATATAAAACTGTTCTATAAACCATGGGTTGAAAATGCGTAAAAATCGGTGCAAACTAATAATTAGTTTGTATTAGAAACAAGTCAAGAAGAACGCGTCTATTTTATGCTGCTTAAACATTTATTCGCAATAACATACTTTCGCATCAGCATCTTTAAAAATGTATATCCATGTACTTGCAGTCTACAAACGTTGTTGCCGCGAAGTCGTGCCCCCTCGGCTTTGTTATTAAGATTTGATTCGTTTTGTGACTGTCACGACTGTTATTTAGTGTTTTTCAGTGAGCGCTGGTCGTCTTAGCGGTACAGTTTATAGTTTATCGAGTGCCAGTCAGGGCGATGAATAGTAAGTACACTTGCCTATAGAGCGCCTGCTTCGAATCTGGTTTGTCTTGCGTATACCTACTCCTTTCATTTTTGCTTTCAATATATATTGTCTTGTGTATGTTGTTATTCTTGTGATGATCACTCTTTCTTTAGCTAGGTTGTCAGGACTTTTTTTGTTCTAAGATAATCCTCGAAGATTATCAGTCGAGATGGCCAGAGAATGCTGCTAAACTCTATATAGGCGACTAAAAATGGTCGTTCAGCCCTCAGCGCCAGCATCCTCGAACTTGAAGTTCATCCTGGGAGGAATTTGTTTACGAATAAAACCCTTGACGTTTGGAGTCTTCGATCCGGTAACGACCTAAATCGGAACCCCTAACGACTGTGGAAGAGCCATACTCGTCTTAAGTTTCTATGAATTTCTGTGCTTTGAGTTTGGCTCTGGTCGAAGCAGTCCGATGATTTTTCTTGTCTTGGAGGACGTCACGTGGAGACACCAGGAAATAGGTACCTCTTAAAATGTGTCTTCTATTGTGTACACAAAGTGTTATCCACCTGCTGGTTAAATATATTATTCCTTGTACTTATTCAATAAATACGTTTGAACGCCATATTTTTGTGGCATTGTTTTAACATGCCCTATTATAACTATCATATAGCTTATACCCGCTAGTTTTAAACAATATTCATAACCCTATGCAAAATAAGGTGGCTTCACAGATAACAGAATATTTCTATCAGTGGCAGTGCAACGTCAATAACCTGGAAAAAATTAGTATCAGTAACTTCGGCACACATAAAAAATGTATGGGTGTGCAAATATGCTAATACTTGAGTTTTTAATTCGAATTGCACAGTGATTGTATGCATAAGTGGACTCGATGTTCCGATTCCTAGTACTCAAGTCTTTTCTTTTTTTTTTTTAATAATGCTACATGTGGAATTCTTACAAGTTGGGTTTATTGGATATTTCTGCACGTATGGTGATGAGTCTTCGGACTCCTTTGCTGAATATAAATCAAGCCTGCATTGAGAAGGCTTAGTTCAATAATAATTTCGGTAAAACGTAGTTTGTTTCTTGAATATCTTAAACGAAACGGTAGCCAATAATGATTCAACCGTGCAAATAAAACAAAGAATAGAAAGACACGAATACGACAAGTACTTGCGCTGTGGCTTTTCTCTGCCCTTGTCTTGCTCGCGCTATTTAAAAATTATCAGTAGCTGTAAACTTGTCGCATCAATAGTCTGATGCAAGCGGTCGCGACTGTGCTTGTTCGACGTACCCGACGATTGCCGCCAACCCCGCACTGGTGCCAGTTTGAATGTAAGTATCTTGCGTCACTTACCGCCAGGTCTGCATTCTACAAATCAGTTGTGGCATTCATGATGACAATTAATTACCAAAACACAAATAACAAAACAAACCAACCCACCTCCTCCTCAAACGCGACGGTTTCCCTGGGGTTAAGTGAGCAGAGTTCAAAAAATTACATTTAAAGTAATTAAACTACACTCCTAATTACTTTCCTGAAAACTGCGAAAATCTAAATAAATTACATTACAAATTACCGCAGATAAAAAATAATAACTTTATATAACAATTACTTCCCAAAAGTAATAAAAAATGCTTTGACATTTCTTTTCGATACATTAAGGCAGTAATTCGTGCTCATTTTATTTACAGAATCTGTAAAAGAATTCAAATCATCTTGTTTACACCGTAACAGCCTCATGCACCTGAAAGTGAGTCATACTGAACAGCCGTTCCGCTAGCGCATACAACGGAAGTGCTAAACCTGATTAATGACTTCTTCTTTAGAGTGATCCTGAGACAGTCGACTCAGTGGTATCGGGCTGTTCATTCAACGGTGAAGGTCCATAGTTAAAGGGTGATAGAACTTTGCCTTCATAATATTGAAGAAGCTACAGTCCGTGTCAGTAACTAAGGTCAGAGAGCCCTAGGAGTTTGTTCTTACAAGAAGTCGTCACTCAAACCGTTTCTCTTTCGACTCGGACGCAGTCTAATTCTTTTACCCCAAATGCAGAAGTTGACGGATTCCCGCGCATTTCGCTCAATGAATATAACTAAAAAAAACACCCGAGGAGCTAGTTCTCGCGCGTTGTCACACAAGGGGGCTGGATGATTGCTGGGCAGAAGTGTCGCCGGTTAAGGAAAGGGGATGGCGCGATGTTCCTAAAATGTGTGCTTTCCCGATCAACCGGCTGCGATATCTGCTCGTTTGCTTATTCCAGACTAAACTACCCATGGAAAACTAGAGAGGCATACCGCGAGCAGCACCTGCTTTGGTCGCTTCCAGTCATTTCCGACTACAAAAGACCTCTTTGCTTACGAATGCCGAGGCTACGCAGAAACGTTCTGGGGCCTTGACATTTCGGATTAACTGTTCATTCCGGTCGTTTGTTGGTCAGGATAATCGAAGCTCACGGTGTGACATTACTTGACGTAAGAATAAGAAGACTGGGGACCTACGTGTCCCGTCCTGCAAGTTTGAAAAAAAGTTGACCTCCCTGGGCCCGTTTGCTCGAAGCCGGTTAACTTTAACCGCGGTTAAAAGTTAACCGCCCTTCCCTACTAGGTACCTACAAGTACCTAGCCAAGTTTGATGAGGGCTGGATGAGCGATAGCTCCGTGTTTTATTATGAGGTGGTAGCCGGTGTCACCTACTGACTGTAAAGAATATACGTGGCTTCCGTGGAAAGGTTCCCGAAATGGGGGGACCCAAAATATGCGCGCTGCCTGGTTTTCGCGACGCAGCGCGGCATACATTTGAGCTTAAGAAACGATTTTTATTGATCGTGGTACAAATAATCGGCAAGGTAAAACTAAATTAACCCTTGTTTGGAAATTTTTACAAATGTTTGGCTGTATGAAGTGAAGAAACGCCTCGTTGAAATTTCCTTCCAAGTTCGAAAGAGGACGACGAAGTTGAGTCCTAGAAACGATGAGAAAGAAGTGGGCAGTGAAAGGCGGGCGGTACACCGGCAGCATGGTTGGTTGGCCAGCATGTAGGAACTGTATATAACACAACCACATCTTGAAAGATGTGATTGTGTTGTCCCTGTTTTAATTGTTTTATTCTTTCTTCATCCATGACTTAAACCAACACGCTCTTCTCCCAAGCAAAACACAGTCATAAATTGAAAAACCTGTAACTCGGCTCACTAAAAATTAACCTATTAGTAAATTACCCGAACATCGAGAAGAACGCTGGAAGTGTTATTCTACGATCCGCGCGCGCTGGCCTTCCACTTATAAGAGATTTGAAGTAAATAATCATAATAAATCTTTGACAAACGCGCGTGCACGGCAAAATTTGTTTTAGGTTTTTTTTTTCAGAACAGTTATTACTGCAGACGCCAGCAGGTGCAGCGCGTGTAACAACACTTGTAGCATGCACCTCGGTGCTTTTGAAATTTAGCAAAAGGTCTATGGGAACGCTCTCTGCTTTTGTGTGCTATCAATACCCGACCGATTGAGCCAAGGCAATCCACTTTCCAAAGACGTTGCCACGCCGACAACTATCGCGTTCACTTAGGCTTACGAATGGCCAGAGTCGAAAGTCTATCTAAAAAAATGCGGCGAGGTCATTGCTCATGTTTTGCGTCTTAAACGCGAAAACCTCTTGCACCATTCGTTGCTGACTTACGCGCCCGCTACTGCAGCTACTACGACGTATTAGTTCCGAAGCGAGCGGCGCTCACTCACCGGGACACCGCCATGTTTCCCCGCCGTCCTTACTCTGCCGGTCACGTGACCCAAAATTCCCCCTCGTAGGGAAATCCGGTTAACCGCGGTTAGTTAACCAGCTTCGAGCAAACGGGCCCTGGTGATCTTCCCTTCGCATTGTAGCATAAAAGCCCTTCACCTCTACGCTGACAGTACGGTTGAAGCTACCTGCTCGTTGGACCAGTCCCACGTCTATCTTTCGCCACCTAACCACGCTCTCGTCCATATCCACACGCAGAGAAAGGGTTAGCTGATAAAAGCCAAGTGGTTGATAGGTTCCGGTGAGCTCGTATATCCCACCGCAATGTCAGCTTAAGGGCGAACGCAGTAGAGTAACGTCGTACTGACGTGCCACTGTGATTCCATCTTGTCTGGAGTTCGTGAGCCGTGACTTTCCAGCGATGTCTTCACACGAAAGCTTTTCTCCGTATCCTTTGCCATACGAGCCCGCTTTTGTGCGTCCTTTGTGTTCCTCGTACGAGGCTTTGCGCTCAGGTGGCCGTCGCTGATTTGCTCTGGTGTCTCTTTGATCACATTTTACCGCGCAAAATAAAGTTTCTTTTTTTTTCCTTCAAGCTCGCCAACGAACTGTGTCATTTGGGACAAGCGTAATTTCAAAAGTAAGAAGCAATATTTTCAACATTGCTCCCTGAAAGTAATTTATTACATTAATGAATTACCCGCCTAAAAAGGTAATTAATTACAGCACTCATTGAAACAAAAAGTGATCTAAATACTGCGATTTCATCACAGTAATGTCATTACTGCAGTCTCTGGGGAGATGTGCCGGACCTGGGTGTATCTCGAAACGTTCCATTGGTATTTCGCCCGTTTTGATTTCACACCATTCTCTTTTGGACCTTGTTGTTTAAACCTCCTTAAAACATCCATACTCTTTTTTTTTTTTTCACATTTAAGTTTTATTTATTTATTTATTTATTCATATACCCTTAAAGGCCCTCGTGAGGTCATTACATAACGGAGAGGGGGGGGGGCTGCATGGTTAAGTTCCATACAATAATTACACAAACAAGGTAAAATAAATATACACACATTAACACGAGTTCACATAAACGCACACAGGCAAAAGAAGAAAAAAAATTAGGCACAATAAACACATCTCAAGCTAAAACCCTGTTCTTCAATCAAATAATCTCGATAATTCCGTTTTGAATGCGTCGGAGTTTTCAATTGTTACGATGGCATCAGACAGGTTCTTCCAGTCGACAATTGTCTGGGGAAAGAACGAGTCTGGGGAAAGAACGAAAGGAAAGAACCAGATAAGCGGGCGATTGTTCGAGAATTTCCTTGTTGGATCGATGATTTGAGGGGAGAACGCAGTAGGGTGTTGCGAAGCGTAGGATGATAATATTACATTTTGTGAAGGGCTGAAAGGCGTGGAATTTTACGGCGGACTTGTAATGGTGGGAGGTTAAGTTGATTTTTTAGAGTAGATACGCTGGTGGTGCGGTCATAATCGGACAAGATAAATCTTGCTGCCCGGTTCTAAACTTATTCCAGATTGTTAATAAGATGGATCTGACGATGGTTTCAAACCGATGCCGCATATTCTAGTTTTGACTTTACGTATGTGTTGTATGCCATTTTCTTCACATGAGATGGAGAGGCTTTTAGGTTGCGTCTAACGTAATCCAGAGTTCGCGATGTTTTAGCTGTAATGTTTTCAATGTGGTCAAGCCAGGTAAGGTTAGCTGTCATTGTTACACCGTGGTATTTATAGGAGTTTACAGCGTCAATCGGGTTGTTCCCTATTGATTATGAAGATACTGATAATGATTGTTTGCGAGTAAAGCGAATATATTTACATTTTGATTTATTCAGTGACATCAGTCAGTTATTACACCATGTGCCAACTTTGTTTAAATCGCTTTGTAGCACATGGTGGCCATTTTGATTAACAACTTTATTGTAAAGTAGACAGTCGTCGGTAAAAATCCGAATGGTGGAAACGAGAGATACAGGGAGAACATTAATAAATATTAAAAAGTAAAGGTCCGAGCACTGATCCCTGGGGACTCCTGGTGTCACTGGTTCTGTGTTAGATTCATGATTGTTAACGAATGTAAATTGCGAGCGTGAAAAAAAGAAATTCTCGAATCCAAGACAGAACCAGTGGGTCAATATTAAGGCATGAGAGTTTGGCGATGAGACGATGGCCTGGGGTCTTTTACGTGCATCATGCAGTAGTAATACACGACCGCACGCCGTGCGCTGGCCCACTCGGCCACCACAGGGGTATCGGTGGCCGAGTGGGCTATACTTCGTTTCAGCTTCGGTCCAGACGCAGCCAAAGCTACAAGCGCGAGCTCCGGGCTTTCAGCATCCCTGCCAAGCACGCGCGCTCGAGCAGTGCAAGCACTGTTCTGGGCCACATGCTCGCGCTTGTAGCATCGGCAGCGTCTGGACTGAAGCTGAAACGAAGTATAGCGCACACCAGCTTGGAGCACGTGGAGCGAAAGCTCGCGATGCAGAACCCAGGGATCCTGGGTTCTCAATCCCCGCCCCTGCCCGTTTCAATCTGGATGAGCATCGTACCGGCGTGCGGTCGTGTATCACTACTGCGTGGTGCACGTTAAAGACCCCAGGGTAGCGGTTATACCGCACTGGCTAAATTGCTCATCTACAGCTGAGACACCAGACGCCCATTGAGGGTGACTAAATTTCGGCTGCATAAACACACACACACACACACACATCATTATTATCTTAGATTCTATACATTTCAAACAAATGTTTTGGTTTTGGATAATAAATTAGATATTCATCTTTTTGGCCACTATTCGGCACTATTTGTTTCAATCTAAAAATGTTACTTATATTGGGCGGATACTTACACTAAACTTTGGGGTCTTATTCATAAGTCTTCCAGCCTTCTAGATGTTTACGTTGATAACAAACACCAAGACACAATATTAGGCCGACGAAGATGTTCAATCCTCCCAAAAGGTGGTAGAGGTTGTCGTAACTCCCCATTGAATCACGAAAAAAACCTGTTCCGAAAAATAAAATAAATATAAAGAATTAAAGAGTACTCTCAAATGTACTAAGAACTCACAAAGTCAAAAGAATATGACGCGATCACAAACACACGCTTCCCTTAAATAATGTAGACTACTTGAATATCACGTAATATTTAGTCCTGCGTAAAAACTATTATTTTATTTATTTTTATAAGTGTATTTGTTCAATCACACTGTAAGTCCTTAGCCCAGTTTTTACAGGAGAATGAGCGCAAATAAAAATTAACAATTTTGTGCACCAAGCTATAAAAGGTAACCTAAACAAGTTCAGCATAAAAATTACTCAAATAACGCAAATTCAGTAAAATTTCCGTATCGCAGTACGATTCGTTTGGTAGGCGCTTATACATAATTAAAAGTGTAACAAGCATAACTGCATCACAGCAAGTAAAGCCGATACACAAATAGCTATCACTCACACATATACACTAGCTCTTCTTTCTTCCAATAAAAGACAGTTAACAATAGAATATAATGAACGAGGAACTAATTTTATTTCTGCTAGTGTAAGTAAATAATGAAACAAACGTCCGTACAAAATTAATTGAAATATTTATTAAGCACTATACCCTTTAAATTTCCCATGTGTTAAGATGACGGTATCACTATGCAATAAATTCCATTCACTGGCCTAGGAAGAAAACTTGTCTCAAATGAATGGTTTTGTCGGGCAGCTTTCTTATATGCATATATGGCGTTGCCTTATATATTTACCTACGCGCATATTTCTGTAATTATTTTTCTTTATATTTTTCTAAACCGCACATATCTAGTTTTAAAAACTTCATAAAATCACACCTGGTGCTTAATGCATAAGCTGGAAGGTTAGCCAGGCAGCACAGTTCTTTGTGAACGGGGCGCAATTGCAGTTTTCAAAAATAAACCTGGCGGCAAGTCGCTAACATTATTTCCTAATTTAGAAGAACCAGTCAGGGTAAATGGTCCCAAATTATTTTCCCCTATTCAAGGGAAGGGTATAGTTTTTTTAATTATTTGCTAGATTTCTCCTAAGGCACCAAAGTTCCTTGTTGGCTACTCTGAAGACTTCTTCAATGAGAGACGTCCTCCAGAACTCACGCCTAAATGTTATTATTAAATATTCATGTTTCACTGCATGTTTTATTTAAGTATCGCGTATAAAAGAATCAAAAATCCGAAACTTGTTTTCCTGTATTGCCCTCATAAACACTGTTCTACTGAATTTCATTCATTAGTCAATAATAGGAAGAAATAAAAAAAACTGTAAACGTCAGTGAAGGTTCTTTTTTTTTAAATTATTAATCGTTCTTTCAATATCTATAGTGAACCAAGCAAATACTTCCAAGGCACTTGTTTCTTAGTTAATATAAATATTTTGCAGACGCTTACCAACAATCCATGGATCTCCGATAAAGAGTGGCAAGATCCCTAACCCGGCGACCCCGCAACAAACGCCGACGGCATCTATTCCAACGCAGTCAGCCATCAGGACTGTCTTCATAGTAATACCACAAGCAAAACACATTGAGCCACATAATGACGCCAACAGAAGAAGCTCAAATGATGAGACCTGAGCAAGGAGGATCATGAAAAGTCCTAGAAAAAAGTGACAGTACATCACGAGGCTTCTACTTCCCAAATAATTCGTGTCCGCCAGCAGAGGAAGTAACGTGCGACCTAATATACCAGACGCGGATGCAGTGACGGGGATAAAAGCAGCCTTCCGGAGGTTCGAGCCCCTGTCAATGGCCAAGTCCACGCTTGTCGATGTGAAGACGTGCTGAGTGTAATGCATGGTGACGGCTGAACAAAATATGACGTAAAACATGGGCTGAGCAAACATGAGCAACGACAGAGAGTAGCTCCTCCGTTCATCGTCTTTGCAAGAATTGTTAGTCGCGCCATTTGTCAAGGCAGAATCATTCACACGATTGGGTACTAAGAGGTCGGGACCACCGTTTGCGGAACTGATTTTAGGTGAAGTGTGTTTCTTTGAGCTACTTGACAGTTTCAGTAGGAAGCTGAATAGCGTGGCGTGCATCAAAAGACCTCCAGTAATAAGAAGCATTCCTCGAAAGCCGTACTGGTCGCGTAGGAAAAGGAGGGACTTGGGGAAGAAAATTCCTGACGCCATTCCTCCTGCGTACTGGATTCCTGTTGCAATCCCCCTGTACTTGACAAAATTCTCCAGGATGATGAGGGCAAGGACCATTATCATGACGCCCGTTCCAAACCCTGAAATATGATTGGAAAGAAACACATTAGATGCGATACTGTACTGGAAACGTGCAATTAATTGTTTTTTGTTGTTGGTGCGCGAATAAATAAAAAAAAATAATACCTAGGAGAACTATTACGCATATAGTAGCCGGAGACAACCTTTCAACATGAGGCCTGCGTCAAAAAATCTAAGCCGCAATGCATTAAGAAAACAACTATAAAGACAAGGCGCCGTTGTTGGCGTGTTAGTCTTACATCGAAAAGCATTTAAGTTCTACCTTAAAAAATCAGATAAAAAGGCTGAGCGTACCGGACGGCATATATATTTAAAAAAACGTGTCTAAACAGCAATATGCTTGCGCTGAAGTTTTACGTAATTACACAAAAAGCCTTACAACTGAACAAAAAATTGTAGTACATTCCTAAAACGGAGGATCGAACAACAGAAACATTGGGAGATATTTATAATAGAAAGTTAGGCCAATACAAAAATACCGCATGTTTAAAAAAATAGGTTGTGTCCTATGTGAGTAAAAGTTATAATGTTGGACTAAACGCTTTAAGGTGGCGACCAGCAAAATGTAGGTATGTATTCAGTTGCTGTTCTTCTGTTCGTATATTTTACACCCAGAGAGCTGAGCGACAAAACTTACAAAGCTAGCCCTAAAAAAAAAAGAAGAAAAAATGAAAGGTGTAACAAATATGGTAGAGACTTGCTTTCTAGCTGGGGCATTACTGTAGCAATTCCTGTCAGCGGAGTTCCAGAAGACCCTTTGCTCTATATGTATATACCCCAGACTAGAAATATGTGCGTGGCAAATGACGATCTTTCTGTGTTAAAACCTTTCTTAACTTTGTTCGTTGATTTTGCTAGGCATATTCAAAGCATACGTAATTGCAAAAGTGACGTATTCCATATATTTTCTTTGTGCATTGTGGCAGAACCTGCGGTGCAGTTTTATCATCTTTTGGAATTTAACCATACGAAACCTTTTGTCTCCATGCGTCTTCTAATAATGGGATCACCGTATAATAACAGCGGGAGCTGTTCTAATAATAAAATGGGAACGAGCTAGCCTTATAGAAAACTATTACATTCGAAAACGTTATATTAATGACAGTTATATTATTTCTCGCTTTCTCACCTAGGTGAAACTAAACTGAAGCTTTTCAATCGTAGATTTGACTTCATTGTGATACCGTATGCCTCAGGTATGTTCGCAGATTTGTGATGTTGAACTTTATTATTAGCTGCTAGAGCACCACCTGAAATAGCAGGAAGTAGATTAACAAAAACAAATACAGTCAAAGCGCAGGCCAACTGGAGTGTGTTTATTATGACGTTAAGACATAAAATAGGGGTGGCGGAAAACAAATAAAAACGCAGAAAAAAAAGGAATCTCATAGAACGTCTTGTACCTAGCTACAATGATAGTTTCGTCTACGCTTTTAGTGTATTTATGATTTCCACCCGAGGTTCAGGATCTACCGTCATCAGAAAATCATGTTCTTTTACATCAAGAATCCGCGTAGAAGAATGTAGCGTACCATGTCCAAACCCAAATGTTACTGACATCCAAGTGAGGCTCGGGGCAAATGCTGACGCTACGATGCTGCTCCACATAACAATGCTGCCTAGGAGGGCGATGTTTAATGTTGAAATGTACTTTTGAAGAATCCCAGCCGCAAAACCTAGTAAAAATTAAAGTAAAAAATTAAAGACGTTTACAAATCTCTGTAACACAAAATTAGAGCGCAGCTCTTAAGGAGGAGGAGGGGAAGGTGCGAAGGGGAGGGTGCGCTCCTCCTCCTCGTCCTCCCCTTTTTTCTCCTCCCCTCCTCTCCTCAACCTTCTCCTCTCCTCCTCCTCCTTCTCCTCTCCCCTGCTTCACCTTCTTCCATCCTCCTCCTGTCCCATTCTCCTCCTCCTCATCCTCCACGACTCCTCCTAATCCTCTCTCATCCTCCTCTCCTCTACTCCTTCTCCTCTCCCCTCCTTCTCCTCCTGTTCTCTCCACCTACTCCTCCGCTAAATCTAGCGGAGAAACTGAATTTGTTCATAGTTGACGTGAATGAAGTCATGTGACGTCATTTTCCCGGCTGAATTTAGCGGGGTACTGAATTGGTGTTGAGGTCACGTGACGTAAATTTTCCCGCTAAATTTAGCGCGGTTACGCCGACGCCGACGCGGACAGCGACGCCACTCAACCCGAAAACGGGCATTTAAGAGCTGCGCTCTAAAATGGAATCACTATGCAGGCTAACGAACTTGAACAAAAGTCGATGAAAAGCACTCAAACAAAGACGGGGCTAAATTAGTGAACGCACGTGACACTAACCTTTATTAAACTAGCTTAGTTTTTTATGTAAGCAAGACAAAATAAACAAAAAGCACTAGAAAGATCAGCCTATAACACAAAACTTCAATCAACACACCATATATATATTTCTCACACGACCCCTGTAAACTCAACATCTTAAACTTAAATTTTCAGTGACGGCTTCCTTACACACTCAATCCAAAAAAAAAACATAGCTTCAAAAGTACTCCTTTTTAAACTACGCTGTCTAAGCAAAGTCGTCAAATCTATCAGACCATGGAAACTGTAGGTGCCTTGAAGGAGCCCATCTTGTTGAGTCTAGAGCAATGACACGTCTACCTGTCCTTCTACATACAGCATACACCGGTCAATTTTAGTGTAATTAAAAGACACAAACGTTGTCACAACAAACACTACTGTAGTGCACCTCATACAAGTTAAACTGATGCCTGTGGTTGGTGCCACTTTGAATCACCAGAGGATCTATAGTCATACCAACCACTTGTAGTTGCACGTGCTCGTATTGTATGTACTACACCTGTTGTACGAATGGCACGTACCGCGATCTAAGAAACGCTTAACTATTAACACCCCGCACAGCTGACATTTCGCTGCACGTTTTAAGTCTCCAGACTTAATCTCTAAGCGTAATATACATCAGTCATTAACGCCACACGTTATATTGTCAATATCCTGTCTTGGGCCTGGGCTGTTTTGATGTTATGCTGTTTTGTCACGTAATATCTTATTGGTGTGTCATATTAAATCTTTTAGTCTTTTACCACGTGTTATTCTGGCACGGGATGTTTGCTCGTGTGCTGTTCCGCACTGGTGCACTTAAAACATCGAAAAATAATAGAATTTTATATGTCAACTCATGTAAGACGCGACAGCAGTTACTCCCAGTGCTTAGATTAAATCTTCGAAAAGATATTTTGAAAATATTCCCGATTCAGGAGACTGAGAGGAGAGTGTTAAATACGCAACAATATGTGCCCCCGCGAATTTGTTCTTTTTTTCATTTCAGCTGCTCTACTCTCCTATATAATGCCCACCTTAGTCACATAAAATTGTAAATTAATTTAACTCTTTGAGCAACTTACAGTTATGGGCTACACTCTAAAAAAAAGGTGTCGCTTTACACCCTTTTGTCCCATATGATACACCCCAAAACTTCAGTTCGACGTACAGCGCACTATAGTCGAACAGACGGCCCAAATTTTACGAGAGGCTTGATAACGGTGTGATATGACATAATAAACAGCTAAAGTACGCATCAAAGACCACAGAAAAGAAAACACTGAGGTTTTGCAATAAAACAAAACGAAAACGATTTTTTTTGTGTGTGTTTAGTCAGTAACATGAACATTAGCTATCCTAAAAAAGTTGTACCACACGGCTATCAAGCCTCTCGTAAAAGTTGGTATCGTCAGTTCGACATCAGTGCGCTATACGTCGAACTGATGTTTTGGGGTGTCGTATATGGGACAAAGGGTGTAAGAGTACACCCTTTTTTTAAGAATGTAAGACTGCGTTTAGCAGCATCTAGATAATAAAACTTCAAATACAACACAAAGAAAAAGTTAACAAATAAGAGGAGGGGTTTGCATTTAGCACGTCTAGAGTGTTGACGATATATAAAGGACGATGACGTACCCGTGGGTGGCGCGTGCATGGGGCCTCAGGTGCGGGATAAAGCCACTAAATGAGCTGCGCGTAGAGTATTGTCACTCTGTTCTTCCACAATGTCGTGGGCGCCGCCATTTTGGTACTTGTGTAGAGCAGATGCAACTGCCGGTCGTCATGATTCAAAAGTGCGACTTCCTCAGCATTAGATTCGGTGTTAGGAAGCTCATGAAATATCGCTTTGCTCTGTCACAAACTGTTTAAACATTTGCGGAGGGCGGAAAATCGTTTCCTGTGATTTCAGATAAAGTTTCAGATAACTGGCAACCATGATTTGAAGCCACAATATGGGAAAGTGTCGTTACACTAAAGCGTAGCTTATTTAGGGGCACTAGTGCGGAATATAGTTCTTCTTTCCCTTTCGTTCTCACTCACATATGTTCCGTATCTGATATGCGGGACGAAACAAAAATCATGAGCCATTTCACTCTGTAAAGGTGGATGACCAGCGAAGCTGTTTAGCACGCGACACAGACGTGTCACACAAGTTTGAACAAAGGTATGAGCACATTTATTGTCTTGATCGGTGATCATCGTGGCGAAAGGTACGCACACACATTTATTGTTGTCTTGACCGGTGTTCATTATTTCGCGTGGATGAATATCGCCGCCCCGAAGCGCCGGAGGAAACTAGACCGCGACACGGGACCGCCACCCGGTGGAAAGTGGGCACGCGCGACGGGACCTACTTTCCGGCCGACCTCGTTTCCTCCTTGCTTCGCTTCGGTCAATCAAGGCGGCGAGGCGGAGAAGACGCGAGGCAGTTCCCTCTCCTCCTCGGAGAAACATGGCGTGAACATTTCTGTCAAATGCAACGTTTTTAGATCTATCAGTTGACAAGCTCCACGGAAAAGCGGCGTTCCAAAACGGTTCTTTATGCCGGCACATGAGCAGATAAGGCCGGATAGCATACCTGGCGCCACCAGAGTCAACGCCTCCACGGGCAATGGTGAAGGACATATTTTCAACGTCGCTCTTTTTGCGTCAAGGA